AGTGAGGTGAATCTGAGGTCAAGGCTGTGACCTAGTTCTTCAAAGATTAGACCGATTAAAAAATGCCTGATTATGCAAAATCACATGATACGTAAACAATGTACGCTCACCACATTGAACTGCATGTTAATAATCATTAAAAATCATATTTCTTCTTTTTTTAAATGTCATTAAATTCAAACCAGTGGTTTTCAGTCTCTCAGAACCTCTGGTGTTTTCTTATTAGTCACAGATGATTTACATCAACAACTGAAATGCACAACTGCAACAAACAAACCTGGGCATAGCAGGCTAGTACTGTACAGTTCTATCTTTTACAGCAGATGGGTAAAACATCATTAAGGCCTGTTTCTCTGATGTATCTCAGCAGAAGGTACAAGTCTCAATAATGACGTTAACGGCTCAGTTCTGTTTAGCTGCTTCAGTTTCAGGGTCCTTGTATTGAACATGTTGGCTCACAGCCACACTGTCATGACTTACTGGGACATTTGAATAGAATGGAACCATTGTTCATGTAATGTTGTATTACCTTGGCTTTTCTTACTATGACGAGGTAAAGTGTCGGCTGAGAAAAATACCTGCTTGAGGTTATAATAGAAACATTCAGATCAGGTGTGTTTTTTTTCATATTTCTGATTAAATATTTAACACAATGAACAAATGACCAACATTGTGGTCTCTTATTTAGGGCAGTCTGAGGTCTGCCTTTACTGGGACTGATATATGGCCACAATGTTTTATCATCAGTCGATATCGTTGACAATACATATAACTTTAATATTTCTTTTAAGTTTAAAAACTATTTTCTCTTGAGTGAATGTGTCAGTATATTTGTAAAAACTGTAAATATTAACTTTATCCCCTACGTAAAATATTTGATTGCCTTTGTTTGCAGTCCCAGAATCCACCACTTCTCTAACCGCCATGTCTGACTGTGTGCGGCTGCTGCTTCCAGAGTGGCATATTATTCCACATTTTCAGAGATCAAAAATCCCTGAACAAACTCCCATGAATACGTAATGACTGTAGCAGTGGGATTGAAGCTGAAATTACATTAGCATACCGCCCTCCAGGCCCGCACCATTCGACAGAGTGGTGTATTACACGCTTGATTCTCCTTACACGGCTGGCTCTGGGGTCTACAGCGCCTTGATAAACCCCTGGCCATTCACCGGACCGGTGGTTCACCGGCTGTTACCAGTGAGGCCATTAACAGGGAGTCGCTGTGGAGAGTGCGGAGCCTCCGCGGGGCCTCAAGTTGTTGGTGTTGGTTGGTATTGTTTGGGCTGCTGTCTGTGTTGGTGGAGAAGCAACCGGCCATATGTCCCATCCACCAGCAGTTCAGTCCTAACCACACTGGCTCACATGATGGGTTGACTGTCATAAAATGGCTGAATGGTGATACTGAAGAGATGGAGGAGGGGTAAGAGGAGGAGTAGGAAGGATGATGGAGGAGTATAAAAATAGAAAAATGGGAAGCACGATGAATTGGAGTCAGGATGAATAAGAAGAGAAACTGAGCGTTTTTTTCCCCTGGTAGAGAATCCCTTCTCGTAACCTATATATTTATTCAAGCGTTTCCCATGCCATCTCAGTTTGTAGTCCACCTCACTGGAGTACATTGTGTTCTATGAAGCATCTCAGTTGCCTGCAGCCTCCAAAACAGAGCGGAAGAGCAAAGATGCATGTTCACTTTAGCTCCATTAGATCATGTTTGAGTGGTTGAACCCACGCTGACGGGGCACTACTGATGAAGTCATACATGTCACAGGAGTTTACACTTAAAGCAAGAAGCGAAGGGAGTGACAGGGAGGATGCTGAGTACAGTTAACACCTCCTTCACTGTCAGGGTGGAGTGAACTTCAGGATTTAGTGCTGTTGTTTGTTACTTCTCCAGAGACTGTGAAACACCATACTCCAGTTTCCTCTCTCTCTGTCTCTTTGACCTCATTCTGCCTCTACCTGACATTTAATAGTCTACAAGTACAACAAGGAGTCGATATTGTAGATTTTGTCTTTATAATAGTTGTGTTAATCCCTTTTTACTGTCTTTATGATACCAAGCACAACTCCTCTGATGAAGTGTGGGTAACTGTGGGAGTTCAAGTGTGTTGCTGGTCCGTGAAGCTATAGTAGCTATCTTCTTATGTTACCAGGAGGACTTCTAGTATTTGTACATTTATTATTATTTGCCAGTTGGGTTAGTTTTTTATGATATAACACTGAACATTCGGTTATAGACTCTCACTATAACAAGACATTTTCATATGCCATCTTGCTATTTTATTATTTATCAACTAGTTTTATTATTAAAGATACTTTCTGGGCATTGGAAAGAACAGAATTAAGTATGTGAAAACAGGAGAGAGTGGGGAAGAGAGGCAGCGACGGGCTGGAACAGAATCATCATTTTATCAACCACAAATCTACAAATGAAAATAACTTGCTAATTAATTTATATTGAATGTATCAGTTGCAGCCCTAGAAAAGCGTGGGAGTCAGTAATGTCTGCTACAACGGAAAATATTTTTGTGACAAATATCGAAAAACAAAGCACATTTTTCATCTTGGACTTTTGGAATGAATCTGAGCACCAGAGAAAATGTATGCCTGCAGCGGTGACAGTCTGATGCAGAACAGGCTGCCTGTACTGTTGATAGGCACTAATCAGTACAGTTAGTGATCTATGGTGTCCATCTGCAGTGATAGACCCATTTCAAGGTTTATAGATCATTCTCATGGTTTTTATGCTTCATAGATAATTCCAGCTCATGCTACGGCTGCCTATGTCATTGTGTCATCGTGCAGTGGTGCCCGGTGAGACGTGATGACTCCATTTGTTCGGGAATTACACGATCGAATAGTTGATTAATCTCAGTTATGACAGGAGTGTAAGTCACCTAAATTGATCCTGTGCGTTTTAGCGAGGATATGAATACGCAGCTGAATTAAGACTCTCGTTACGATCATAATTCCTTGTCATCACCCACCCGTCCCTGATCCCTCAAAGTGGAAGTGACTTCCCAGTCTGAGTGCGCCCTGTGTGTCTCAGGATCACTGGCTTTCCTTCCACAGCAGCTGAATGTCCTCTGATCAGAAAAGTGATGAGAATGAGGCGATGACATGGGTGGATGTGGCCGCTTTGTGCTTTTCAGGACCAGGCCTAATGCCCATTATAATCCTTTATACATGAAGACATCACATGTGGGTGGCAGGCAAACATGCTGTCAGGAGGAGGATGTGTATCGGTGTTGTGGACATATGGTGCACACAAATCGCAATTACAACTGAGAAGATCTATCAACACACAGAATAATCACCACAGCTAGAAAATATTCAGTGGATGAAAAGAGGATTTAGAGATGTTGCATTTCTAAGACAGTGTATTAAATGTAGGGTTTAAAAAATGAACTGTGTTTCATCGGCTTTTAACCAAATACTAGGTTGTGACCAATGTTTTTAAATATTCCTGCAGCAGCCACAGTCTCGGTTTGGGACCCGGCCCTTTGCTGTGTGTCTTCCCCGCACTCCCCCTCCCCCTTTCATCCTGCTGTCCTATCAATAAAAACGATTTTATCCTGAAAAGAAAATCTAATTTTAAGATTTCCTGGTATGCGACTGAGATTTGTAGTATTTTTCATAGTAACGTGCTCGGTCTCCATTTAAGAGGAGAAGCTCCAGAAACACCAGAGTAGTGTGGACACCAGGTGAACCTGCAGCAGTTGACGTGTATTTAAATGAAAATTTATTCATATGGATGTAGCCTCAGCCTTTATATGTTTATGTACAAACCACAGTGTGTGGCCCAGCTGCTCTGCCAGTGAAGCAGCGTTTCAGTGTTGCAGAACCTCATGAGCTCAACGATATCTCTCTTAAAGTGTCTTTAAAAAAATACACAGAGCTAAACGTTGTTCTGTTTGACCATCCTTTAGTTATAACTCAATTAGTTCATCAGTTTACAGTGTGCACGATTGTCTCTGCATTTCCACTGAAGAAAGAAAACAGAGTGTTTAACATACTTTAAACCGCAGTGACTTGTCCTCTGGAATATCCACCCCTCTAACAAACACAGAGACAAACTGCCCTCCTGTCCTCTCCTCACCCCTCCCCTCCCTGCCCTTCCCCCACCTCATCCCTGTCTGTCATACAGGCCTCTGTCTTTAAATTTTGGGGGAGGGCGGGTAGCGTTTGTCTGACTGACTTGGGTGTGGCAGGAGGCCTCGCTGTAATACACACAGACACAAACACAGAAACTCACGCACACCACAGAGGTAAATGCAAATTCAAGCACACAGAGACGTGTACTCATGCACTCCTGGGTATATGGATTTGTATATGTACTTACCATTCATACACACACACACATACTCTCCTCTAGACATTTGCATATTAACAACATGCCCCATAGATGCTTCCTGCACTCATGCCGCCTCTTGGCTCGGTTTGTATGTGTGAGATCATTATTGTGCTGCTACGTGGGTGTGTTAGCTTGTAAATAATATACTTCCGTTGGTACTGTGGCTTATGTGTGAGTGCATGCACGTTACTACAGTGTGTCAGTCAGTCACAGCGTGGTCCTCCCTCTAACACAAAGACCCTGTCAGCTGCAGAAGAAGCCCTGTGTGTGTGTGTGTGTGTATTGGTGGGGGTTGCCCAGCTTGCAGTGTTCCTCCTCTGTGGAGGTTGGAGGGAAGGAATGGAGAGGAGATGGAGGATGGGGGATCTGAAATGATTGGGGTGGAGGGGATTATTAGGAAAGGGGCCAGAGTTGTTTTTATGGTCTCATCTCCAGAAACTGTCAGACGACATGCTCCACTGATCTCTTTGTGCTTTTCTGTGGCTCACATTGTGTGAAGTTGGAGAAACAAACTCAGGAGCTTGGCTTGGGAGTGTGGCGTTATCTTCCAGAACGTCCAAATAAAAGAAAAGCATTATTTTGCCCTGGTGTTTGATGTAGTCATAAACTCACAGTCTGTCTCTCTCTCTGTCTCTGACCACAGCCCTTCCATCCCATGGTGAACCTGCAGTGCTCTCCGGACCTCAGGATGTTTCTCTGCGCGCTCTACGCTCCGGTGTGTACAGAGTACGGCCGAAAGACGCTGCCCTGTCGCCGCCTCTGTCTGCAGGCCAAGAGCGACTGCTACAAACTGATGGACATGTTTGGTGTCAGCTGGCCGGAGGAGATGGACTGCAACAGGTTGTCACAACAGTAATAATTCTTTTCCCCTGGATTTATTTTGGCACTAACAACCCTGCTGCATAAGTAATTTGAGCAGATGGTGCTTTTGTAAGAGGAGTAATAACACAGCAGTAGAACAGCAACCGGCATGTAAAATGAATGAATAGGTTACACTAATAAATACTGCATGGCCTTAATAAAACTCTGTTTGTAGATGTAAAACATGGAACCAGGTTTTTATGACACCGTTAAAATGAAATTGAGGAGGGATGTGTGTTGTATTTGTTGTGGAGCTGATATTAAGAGAACTGGCTGCTGAACAATCAAATGAATGGAAACGTTTCCTGTCCCAGAGAATAAAACCAGCTTCGTCCGCATATCACATTAGAAACATCAGCAGCAACAGGAACCAAGAACAACACCAAGAATTCACATATCAGATAAACGTCTGGCACATTTAAGGGAGTGATATCTAAGAAACCTGATAAATTAAAGGCAACCATTGGCCTTGACAGAGGAATGTGCTGTACTTAGTGCTTTTCTAGCTGTAAATTATTTTTTTAATCTAACAAATATCAGTAAGAAACATAATAGGTAAATATTTAACAAAATGCCAACGCCAGCCAACTGAATAACATATAACAAAGTTATTATTTATATTTAACTGTAAAATAGTCTTGCATTAAAGTAGTATTATGAAACTGGCTCTGTGTGTAATCTGTTGCTAAATACTGAACAGCTGAAATCACCCCCTGAGGTCATCATGTGTCTTCTGCCGCCAGGTTCCCAGACTGTGACGAGCCCTACCCCCGTCCTGTTGACCTCCTGTCCAGCTCAGACACAACAGAGTCCCCCATCTCCGTCCAGAGAGACTACGGCTTCTGGTGTCCCCGTGAACTCAAGATCGACCCTGAACTCGGCTACTCTTTCATGGGGGTCCGGGACTGCTCGCCGCCCTGTCCCAACATGTACTTCACGCGGGAGGAGCTGGCATTCGCCCGCTACTTCATCGGGGTGGTGTCCATCGTCTGCCTGTCTGCCACTCTCTTCACCTTCTTGACTTTTCTCATCGACGTGTCACGATTCCGCTACCCAGAGCGCCCGATCATATTTTACGCCGTGTGCTACATGATGGTGTCCCTGGTGTTCTTCCTGGGGTTTCTGTTGGAGGACAGAGTTTCCTGTAATGCTGCGAGTCCTGGGAGGTTTAGGGCTTCGACGGTGACTCAAGGCTCCCATAACAAGGTCAGAAATCAGCCCTCTGAGTTCTTTTCTGCTCTTCTGCTGATTCTGCTCCTCTGATACTGATTTTCTTTCCTGTGTGACAGGCCTGCACTCTGCTCTTCATGGTGCTGTATTTCTTCACCATGGCCGGCAGCGTCTGGTGGGTCATTCTGACCATCACCTGGTTCCTGGCTGCTGTTCCCAAGTGGGGCAGTGAGGCTATCGAGAAGAAGGCTCTCCTCTTCCATGCCGGTGCGTGGGGCATCCCCGGTGTCCTCACTGTCACACTGCTCGCCATGAACAAGATTGAGGGAGACAGTGTCAGCGGTGTCTGCTTCGTGGGACTCTACAACTTGACGGCACTGCGTTGGTTCCTGCTGGCCCCGCTGGGACTGGACGTAGTGGTGAGGAGTTACACTACCGATACGTCTTTACATTTTAACTCGAGCCGCTCTGCTCTAATCATCAGACGTGCTTCCCTCTCCACAATCCTCATACACCTATCATACACATATTTGCTTATCCGTCAACATCATAGCAATGTAATAAATATCTGAGGGAGTGATGATATCCGAGCCGTGAAGCCAAACTGAAATTATGTTAGTTGTCTGACTGAACTTTAATACATCAGGGCTTCATCAGGACCTGTCTTTTTATTATGGAGAGGATCTTTTTTGAATACCACAGGTACATTTCTGTAGTTTAACCTTGTCCCTCTCTCACATCATCTCAGGTCGGCGTGGCGTTGCTTCTGGCAGGCATAGCAGCACTGAACCGAGTCCGAATGGAGATCCCGCTGGAGAAGGAGAACCAGGAGAAACTGGTCAAGTTCATGATCCGTATCGGCGTGTTCTCCGTGCTCTACCTGGTCCCTCTGCTGACTGTGCTGGCCTGCTACCTGTATGAGAACAGCTACAGAGCAATATGGGAGACGACCTGGGTGCAGGAGCGCTGCAGAGACTACCACATCCCCTGCCCCTACCAGGTGATACCCTCGACTCTGGTTTATTAAAGAAGCAGCGAAATATAGTTTTACATGAATCATTCATCATCTGCAGCCAGAACTGGTCCTACCTGAAATCTGCTTTGGGCACAAACACAAAATATTTTTACTTTTAAGCTAAAAATACACAGATGGTTTCTTTGTTGCAGGATAATAATAGCTGAGCTTGTCTTCATTAATATTTGCATTAATTCATCTGCTGGTGTCATCATTTCTTATGCTCTTCATTAAAACAAATGCACAGTGTAAGGATATGATGACACATTTTTGCAACATCACACATGATTTACACTTTTAAATACGATATTAGTGTGCTTGTAATTATTGCAACATTATATATGGGGGGTGCTGCATTTAAGCCTTATACCCAACGATCCAGAAAAAACATGAACACTTACTCACAACCTCAGGAAACCAAACACCATCACCGGCGCTAATAGTAGCTGAGATACTGTCGTCACCGTCAGCACAGATGTTCCCGCACATTAAATTCACCACTGGGGCAAAGAGGCGAGAAGACGGAGCAGGAGGTAACAGCTGGAGAGCGCTGCTCACTGTCACAGAGATGTTGAAGAGCAGCTACTCAGTGAGATAGTGCGTCCCAAATACACAGTCGCCGTCCAACATAGACCAAGATGCTCACACACTGACTCACGGAGCTGCGTTGGCCTCCAGCATCAGAACACACGCTGCAGCTCATTTGACAGAGCGGTGAATAATTCAGACAGCGCTCCTCCGTTCCTCTCAGCCAGGTATGAGCTCCCACGTGAGCAGCTGCCTCTGCACATCCGCTCGCACCGCTGCAGGTTCACAGTGGATTTTGGTCGAGCAGAGAGTATTACAGTGTTGAAGGTGTGCAGTGGGATGTTTTTCCTCGTTTGTTGTTTATACTTCATCAGGAACTCTGTATTCTGTGGCAGAAGTAACTGGTCTGTATTTATATAGCCCTTGTTAGCCCTTGAAGACCTCTCATCCACCCACACATTCATACAGTGCCTCTAGTTGCAGCACTTCCTCTATCACAGACACACACTGCTGGTGGTTTGGGGTTCAGTATCTTGCCCAAGTGCACTACTGAATGCAGAGTGGTGCATGGAGACTGGGATTGAGTGGAAAACCCGCTCTACCTCCTCAGCCACAAAACTGGTGATGTAGCTTTATATCTTCGTAGCTGCTAAACAGCTGATATACCTTTAAAATATTAATGATCCAGAGGTGCAGCTGTGCAGAGAGATGCTGGAGCATTGAGCAGAACTAAGATCAGATGCATTCTGCTGCAGAGTCCTGCTCTTAATCTGTCCCATAAACACTGCATTGTGTGAGAGAGCGGTGCAGTAATCCAGTGTGTGTTCCTGCAGGGAGAGGACGGGGGTCGTTGAGGTTGAGCTGCTCCACATCATAGTTACAGCAGATCTGAACACACGCTGCACGTTCTCCACAGCGCTGTGCTCGTACACACCGTACCACACTGTACTGTGGAGATGCTCTTAGGTGGAACACCACAAAGACTCCACATAGCATCCCCCCCCCACACCACATGAAAGAACACACGTTTGTATTCACACACAAACATACACAAAGTCCATAACATGCACCAATAGGTAGCTCAGACTTAAAGTGCCAGACTATATTTAACTTAAAAGCCTTCCCCGAGGCTCAAACCGAGGACCCATCCTCAACACGCATGCACGCACACACACACACA